GGTGGAAGCCATTACTTGTGATTGACATCTGATGTTGGGGACAGTCTGTGAAACTGAGCCCTCGACTTGTAGGATCTGATGCTATCTTGAGGTAGACTGTGTCAGAATTGAATCAAATTACAGGATACTCAGCTGGTATCTGCTGGAGGATTGTTTGGTTGATATATAGGGGAAAATTCCCACACATCTGGTATCAGAATTGTTTTCTCGAGTGATGTATGAGACTAGATAGATAAACACTGCCTTCTGATATCTTTATAACTGCATAATTTCTTTATGATCATTATAACCACAATTAAAAAGTTCTGAAGGACAAGACTCATAGAAACATAATCTCATTCTCCTGTATTTTGAGTGTGATGGTGTCCAGCTAGTCATTTTACTTGTTCATTTATTTAACACAACTTTGAGAGCTGTGATGTTTCAAGTGCTATGATAGGTGTTGAAGTACACACAAATGAAGGAAGATACTCTTTGCAGAATGTTTTGGCATATCCACAGGGACATGTTTAGCAAAGCTAGACACACAGGTTTTCACCTTGAGAGGGTGACCTAGCACAGAGACATATATTTGGGTGATAAGTGAAATTCTGGTGGACAATGGAGTTTTCCATAAGAAAGTGAAAGATAACCTAGAATGGAACCTCACTCCTAATGCAGGGCCACAAGGAATGAAGAAGACTCAGATCTCATAGCGGTAGGAGACACTTTCAGGGAATACCAAGATGACAAGAATAGAATTTAAAATGTCAAGGGCAGCAGGAACTACTCATAAGATAAAAACCAAGCAAAATCATGAGATTCCACTTTGTGGAGGCCATTAGTAGTTCTCATAGAGAAGTTGCACCTAAAGGTCTCCAGTGGAAGCAAGGTTATAGTTGCTTGAATAGGGAAGAGGAATTAAAGATGGCTAATGGCGAAAGAATGGCAGTGGAATTAATCTGTTAAAACCAGGGCTCATGAATTGATTTGTTCGTGGTGTTTAACAAGCAGTGTTGCCTGCTTGGATGAATTTATGTTGGCACAGATGCTGGTTAAGATTGAGACACCTTTCTATTTATTACCTTGCCTGTGTAATTCCCAGTGTGGGTATGTTCTTCTTTTTTTGTGTTTGCCGCGCAGATGTACCTTTTCATTAAGATGACAAAATAATTTTTCGAGGGCAGCATCACTTGTTATGGTAGTTAGTCATTTCCTAATTGTGGAAATTCCTGTATCTAATGATGTTTCTGTTGGTTTGAACAGCTGGCCTCCTTGTTGCTTCTTTGCCGAAAGGTGAATTGGGAATTCTCCATTAGTAGTCACAAGATTGCTTTCAGAATTTCACAAGCTTGCCATAAATTATGCTGATTATAATATGAGGATTATTTGGAGGGATTTTGGATATCTGTAAGGTTTGATAGACTATTGTATTTCAAATTGCCCTTCCAAAGAATGACACCTCAGAATTTTGCCTCATTGGGATTCATTTTTAATGAGCCTCTCTCAGAAGTGACCTGTTTTAGACAACAGGAGGTTCACTTTAAATGCTGCACTTACATGCAGTGTTCAGTGTATCTATAAACCTCTAATCACTTTAAATGTTTCATATTGATTGCCCTGAAACCCTTGCATAAAGAAAAATGAAAGGCAAACTTTCTGAAATGTATTTTTAAAATGATTCTAATTTTCAGAATTTTTAGTCAAGGAACAAATAGATGTCTCTTTAATGCTGTACCTTTTATAAAAAAAAATTAAAACATATAAATGTGCCTTGGTATAACTTGATGTTCCTCGCCTCCTTAATCCCAGCTTTAGTGGAATGTTTTTTTATCAGAACACGGACAAGGGCAAGAAGAAAGAGGTTCATTGTTTCAAATACCAGCTTAGCTGTAGAATAATATAAAGGAAATTGCTTTATTGTCATATTGTAAATCCAGCTTTCTACAATTTAATTATAATCAAATGTTTGTGAACATTATTTCTGGAGGTGTATTTCTCCAAATAGCATTCATCATCTAAAAAATGTTTATAGTGCACATATAGAATTTTAAAATTATAGAAGCATACAGAAGAAAATTTAATTTATACTACAATACACAGTGTGCTTTTTAAAACCTTTATATACATTTCCTGAATTGTGATAACATGTATATGTAGTTTTACATTCAACTTCCATTTCATATTTTATTGAATGTTTTGCTTTACATATTGCTAGTTATTAAAGAATTCTAATTCTTAATGAAGCATGCTTTATTTTAATCATTTTAGAAACAGATACACCCAGGTTTTTCAAATTTCACATATATTTTGAACATCATTTCCTTTATCTGATTATTTCCTCAGAATTTTTTTTAGACCTAAACCTCTAGATCAAAGGTACATGTACATTTTAAATTCACAAAATGCAAAACCAAATTGCTTTCCCCAATTGTGCAAATGTAGCCAAAGCACATCTTTGTACTTTCTCTTTTTTTGTTACCAAGTCAAGTACAAAACAATTTTTGTCCCTATGTATGAAGAAACTTCTCTTTCCCTGCTCTGATCCTCCCTCTTCCCATCACAGACAAAGATGTGGATTCCATATCTTCTGAGGTACTTATAAAAAGCTATGCATAGTTGTACATATCGACGGGATTTGTTGTTACATATTTTTACATGCACACAATGTAATGTACCAATAAAATTGTGCAAAATAAATAAATTCCTGCTAAAAGCTATGCATATTATTTGGCAGGCATGATGATATATATTTAACACAATTTTATCCTTATAACACCTTCATAGCTCAAGTCTGATTTATCCCTCTGATAAAGATGAAGAAATTAAGATTTAGAAAGCTTAACAAATTTTCCCAGGGGAATATAGCTAGTAAGATCAAACCAGGATTGAGCCTAAATCTCTTTTGAGTCAAAGGACATATTTGTCATCACTATGTTTTTCAGATTCAACCTCTGACTTGAGCTAATCAGAATTAACAACACATGCATTGGTTTTAGTTCAAACTGTGCATGATTTTGTTTCTGCCTAACTCCAACTTTGTTTGGACTCTGCCCTTCGTATTCCTATTCCTAGCCACACACTGGGATTTTTCCGATCTTCAAATGGCACGTTTGAGATCTTTGAATATACTGAATCCTTTGTTTGCAATGTTCAGGAGGCTTTTCCCTATATGGTTTCAACCTTCTCTAGCAAGTCTTAGCTGATAACAGTCTTATTTGTGCTCAGTTTTCCAAAAGTGACTTCACGTGAAATAGCTTTTCCTCCCATTTCAAGTATTCCTTATCATCTGTTGACTTCTCTCATAGCATGTACCTGATCTGAAATCAACTGTTCATTTATTTGCTTGTCTCCCTTTTCAAAAGTACACACTCTTCCAGGGAGTGTTTTTTTCTCTCTTAGTACTGTATCTATAGAACTTAGAATAGCCCTTGGCACATCATAAATGATGAAAATTGTTGAATGAAAAATGGGTAAATGAATTTGAAATTTTATTCCATTTGGTAAAAATGTCTTAATAATCTTTTCAACTGAAAATACTTAATAATTAGTCATTGGTAATGCTGAGCATTCTAAATCGTGTTTCGGCCTTGATTAGCACACATAAAACCATAACCATATATGTTGGAACTTCTGCTTTAGTTCTAACATGCTGAATAGTAGTTTTATTTAACTAACTCTTCAATAGTTACCTGAAAATGAATGTTTATTTATTAGACATAAAACACTTCAGCTAATTATCTGCAGCAGAATAATAATGTCTTGGAAGTGTAAGTTTTTTTTTTAACCTAGACAATAATTTAGTATGCACTGAAATGTTTTATACTTAGTATACTGAGATTATTTAGAAAGGAAAAGGTTCTTTTAGAACCAGGATCAGAAATTCAAAACTAGGCCTTTTCCATTCTATCAGATCTCCCCATAACACCTTTTCCCCCTTATTATACTGATATTCCTATAGAATAATAGATTATGTATAAAAAGGTATTTCAGAAGTAAAAATATCAATATTAATCAAAGCTACCAGTTTATTTTGTATCCCAGGAAACAGTAGGTTTTGAGGGAGATTAATGTCCCCCCATTGGTCCATTGTAGGTAGCTGTTGTGTAGAAGCAGAGGCCTGTGGGAAGGATCTCCAAACAGAAAGGGGAAGAAGTAGCAGAATCAGAATGAAACAATATCATGAGACGTTTTACACATTGTATTTGCTCCAAGTTATCAACTGGACCTCTATTATATGTGAACCTCATATTTCAGAAGCCACAAACTTAAAACATCAGTTGTAATAACCTATGGATTTTCCTGTAGGATTCTCATGTAAAAAAAAATAATTCTTAATTTTCAGACATTTTTCTTGAAAATAGGGTTAGATTTACACAAGTGAGTTCACATACACATTTCTATAGAATAAGATATACTGTACCTTTTATAATTTCTTATAAGCCAAAGATTTATCTTCTAAGGCTGAAAAGAAACAAACTCTATTTCTTGTATTTATAAGGAGATGAAAGAATGTGGCCTTGTCCGTACATGTACATGAATGCACAGTGAATGGGATACATATATGAAGCATCCTATGTAGTTTAAAAATGAATTTTACCTAAAAATGATGATTATCAAACCAGAAAAATTAAGTCCTGTATTTTCTACTTTATTCATATTCTTTAAAGGTTAACAGCAACACATTGGCTCATTTACTTTTATATGGTAGATCACATGGGCTCCAGTGTACATAATATGAAATAAAGGCTTTTTTTTTAGGCAAATAGAAGGGTTTTTAGGATGACTCAGTAAAACTTTATTTTCTACAGAAATTTTTTTTATTAAAATTAGCACATGATAATAAAGGGAAAATAGTATTCATCTTCAAATGACTATGTTTACAAATCATGGAATCAAAGACTCTGAGACTGATGAGGGTCCAAGGGCTTATCTTGTTGAAAATATTCCTTATAGCAATAGGGATAGAGTCTTAGAATCTGACTATTATAATGGGGTTTTGTCTTGTTCTGTTGATGCAGGAATACATGGACTCTAATAAATACATTGAGCATCTGCTAACTCAATTGGAGGAACAACACAGAAGTCTCTGGAGGTGAGTAGAATTCATGTTCTTGTCTTCCTTGTTTGTTCAGGTAGTTGTCTCTATAGCTTTGAAATTGACCATGGGTCAGGAGTTGGAAAAAGGAATTTTCTTCCAATTGGTGCCAGAGGCATCTTTGTGTATAAGGATAGTCAGAGGCTACTTAAAGAATGTGATTTCTTTAGTTAAAGTAAAGAAACAACACCAAAAGCCATCCTTGAGTCAGATGTGCACCGTGCAAGAAGGATGGTGGGAATCCTGAAACTTGTCAAAGTCAAGGAATTAAAGGTATTTCCCAGGGCTGCATGGCAAACTTACAATGTGGTGGGAAATAGAACACAGATTCTCTGATACTAAACTACTGAAAGATTTTCTCTGAAAGGTAAAAAAATGTCTGCTTAAAAGTTCTGCTTCTTTTCATCTTAAAGGGGAATATTTTGGGAGAACAGTTGTGCAGTTCTCTGATATTTAGTTTTAGTTTTACTTGGTGGGTTCTGACTCTAGGTAAGGAAGCCATGTCAGAAATAGAAATTAATAAAATAGGAGTCACATTCCCAAGTTGTGTATACATTCCATGACATCTCTTGGGAATACACTGGCAAAGATGTTTGACGTGTCATTATTTAGCTCTTTAGGGACCTTATTTTAGAGTCTTGTTGTCTATGAGTACTATTATGAAATTTGATTTTCCTATTTTAAGCTTCTATAACTCTTGATTTTTGAAACATGCTAATGCTTAATTATATGATGCTGCACATGATACTAGAAATTTTTCATGAAATTACCTTAGTCTGGCGAAGGGTCAGCAAGCCTCTAACCTCTTGAAGGGGAGAGCTTTCTCTGTATACTGAGATGGTAGATAAGTATATAATAACCCCGAGACTTTCTTACCAAACCTCATCCAACTCCATCACCACTGAACTCCAAGTAGGTTATTCCCTCTTCATTCATCTTTCCTAAGTAGTTCTAGTAAAGCACTATATATTTTAATTCATTCTGTTCACATGGTTTACCTACTGGAGAACAGATCTCTGATCATAGTAATAGAAAATATTCTTTTTGTATATATAGAAAAACTGCTGGTAGAATACAACAGAAGTTCAGTTGTTAAGTTTGCCCCAATAACAGGGACAGTTATTTTTATATTTAACTAATACAATATTTGCTAGATTTGTTTATGAGAACCATAACCTAGTTTGATAATTTTCTTTTGTGATCCAGTGTCCTAATAAAATCTACAACTATGCATTTATGGTTGTGTGCCTTTTTAATTATATTCTCCATGGATCTATTAGAAAGCATATTTTTAAACTGATATGCAACTGGTATTTAATACTATATTTCAAATACTTGTATAGAATATTTTATTTATCCTATCTTTCAAGAGAAGAATATACAAAAATGATGACTGCTATCTAATCAAAGAAATTTAGAGTTTAATTTGGTCAGGAAGTGTTTCTTAAATATATCATTGTGGAACAGTAATGGTTTCATGGGCTCTTTGAACTAAATAAAAACCTGCATGAAAAAGGCTATTTTTCCTGTTTTCTTGAGGTAGCTAATAAAAACCTTTTGGCCTTCTCAGATATGATTAAATTAAAATCCTATTTCAGGCATGGAGTTAGCCTAACATAAAGTAAGAACTCAGAATTTTGTGTGCATTCACTTCCATTTTCCTTCAGAAATATTACTGTTGAAGAAGCAAAGCCTTCTATGTGGAGTTGGAGGATCTAATAAAACAGCTCCATTTGAATAACAATAGAAGGCAATAATGACATTTGAATAGTCAGAATAGCTACCAGTGGAAAAAATGGAAATAGCAGTATTGAAAAGAAAATGAAAACCAATGATAGCAGACTTACATACAATTTACTGAATCATGAAATTACATTTGATTATATTTTGCAAACAGATCCTGACTTGATTGACTTAAAGTAACAGGGTTTAAGATGATTATTACAATATCATAACTATAGCTGTAGCCAAATTATTTTTGGTGAAGAATATATGAATATCATGGAGCAGTGTGGGAAATTCTTTCTAGTTATGATTAAGTTATGTAAATGCATCATTCATGTGTTGGGGTAGAATCCATGATGTGCAGAGGATCATGAAAATAACATAAATGGTATGTTATTCTCATACCATGTACATAAGAATGACTAGATTGCCTGAAGTTAAACAAATATTCCCATAATATTCCCTCTGATTTTTATTGTGCTTTTGAATTTTGGTTATCATGGAGTGGGCTGTTTGTCACTGCTGCTAATATTAAATGATGAACTTCCATTTACATACCTTGAAAGACGAGTTCAGAATATATTTAGATCATCCAGTAGTAACTATGGTCAGCATTATTTTATGGCTGCCTCTTTTGAGGATTGATCAAAATCATGATGGACATGAAACATGCTCTTATTTCTGCTTAGTGAATGATAAGAGTTGGAAAAAAGTGATAGAGGATTGGGTATAACCATTACAAAGCTCCCTTGTCTTCATGAGAGGTTACAAATCTTTACATTTCAGTTGTATCTTATAGCTTAACAATCTGCTATAATAAAAACATTGTTATCACATTCAAGTTATTTGGGGTCCTATTTAGTATTCTACTGAAATAGACCTATAATCTATCTCTGAGTTTTCAAAGTACAAAGGAATTTGTGGAGTTTAAATTTAGATATCCAACAACGAGAAATCATTTAGCTCAACTCTTTATACCAACACATTTTTTCTGAAGAGGTAAACTTCTGAGAATTCATTTAATGAAAAGGATAAAGTCAGAATCTAGAATTGAATCTAAACCCACCCAGATTTATACTTAATTTGTAATTTGTTCTTCATCTCACTACTTGATTTAAACAAACAAAAAAATCATTACGACATATACACTGGTGTTTAAACACAATCACCATTTCCTGCATCTTTATTTGCTCTGATATGGAAACTTAATATTTAAAGGAAATGATTGCTTTGCACTTGATGATTTTCCTATCATGTGTCGCTATTTCTGATTTGGTTAAATATATCTGTGACTGACAAGAAAGATTATGTTAAGAAAAAAACTGCTGAGAATATCTTTCTCCTAACATTTGATAAAAATCTTTATCCATTTGCAGCCTCAAATTAAGAGTTTAGAATAAACACAGACAGTTGGGAAATACAAATCAAATTCATGAATATTTATGGCATTAAAATTACTCTTTCATGCCACATGCAAAATTATGTATGAAAAAATGGATTCAGCATCATACCATAATAATGAAAAGAGGACTGGCCTGGAGATTTTGGGGATTTGGATTTCTGTCTCAGCCTATCCAAATTAGCAGTTGATTAACATCTCTGAGACTGAGTTCCTTATCTTTAAAAAGAAAAGTAGTAATATATCTAGTATTTGAGATTACTGATTGCTGAAATTATATGAACCATAAAGTCTAGAAGAGTGTGTTGCATTTATTGACCATATAAGAATGTGTGTTTTTGATAATACTTAAATATTGTGAATTGATACTACACAATATATATGTATCATAGAAAACTGCAAAGAACAGAGTAGACATGACTACTAAACATGCCTAACAGCTTTCCAGTAGTGTACCCAGAAAATATCAATGTATTCATTTTAGAATATTCATTATGAATATTCTATATTAATAAGTCATATTGGAACCTATAAGTTAATAAGGAAATCTGCATGACAAAAATCACATGACTATCTGGTGAATGAAGAGTGCTAGCTGCCAACCCAGAGATTCTAGATCACCTAAGTCCGTAATCCAGCTGTACCTGGATTAGGTTCTCTCAACCAAGGCACTGTTGGCATTCGAAGATAGATAATTCTTTTTCATCATGGAGATGGGTTGTCCCATGAATTGCAGGATGTTTAGGACCATCCCTAGCTTTTACCCACTACCTGCCAGTAACATCCCCTACTTAACCAAAAATGCCTTCAGAAATTTTCTGAGTATTCCCCAGAAGACAAAATCGTTTCCTCTCCTCACAAAGAACCAGCACTCTAAGTGATCTATGTAAGTGTTTTCCTAAGCATATTCCAAGAAACACTAATACACTAGATCACTGTGTGATAGATATTTTGAGAAAAAAAAAGATGAAAGTATGCTGTGGCCAAATTTGAAAAATACTAGATAAAACAAGGTTTTAAGTTTTTAAATTGGGAACATCTCAGAGCCATTAATATTGTTAATACATGCTATGTATATTTATGCAAACAAGATACAACATATAATTTTGACTTTTTAAAAAGTCCTCAAATACTACCTATTTTGAAATATTATCCGTGGATAAGGTTTCAGGAACATGCCTTGGGAAATGGTGATCTATATTCTTGATATCCAGATGTATATGACCTGTACTCCCCCCCCCCCCCTTCCTCACAGGTCCGGTGCTGGGTGATGTGGTGAAAAGTCACCTAAGAGTGCAAGGACTCTAACTTGTTAGTCAAAGGGGAAAAGGCAATATTTAGAAATGTTAGTCCCAAGTTTTTCACCACTTTCCAGAAGGGTAACACAAGCCTCAACACTAAACTCCAAGAATCTGTAAACTGTAGAATAAAAACTGTTTTCCCTATTGAAGCACTTAACTCCTGCTTCCCAAGGTGGGAAGTGCATAAAAAGAATCTCACTTTTGCAGGGCATGGAGACACAGGCCTGTAATCCCAGCAGCTCGGAAGACTGAGTGAGGCAAGAATATGGCGAGTTCAAGAGCCAGCCTCAGCCATAGCGAGGCAATAAGCAACTCAGTGAGACCCTGTCTCTAAATAAAATACGAAATAAGGCTGGGCATGTGGCTTAGTGGTCTAGTATCCCTGAGTTCAATCCCCGGTACCAAAAAATAAAAAATAATAATAATAATAATATCACTTTTACCCGCCAACATACACATTCGTTTATACATAAAAGAGTGATATTAAAATCGCCTGCTGGGAGTCCACATGGCTACTTCTGATGAAAAACAACATTATTGGTAATGTGTTATCTGGAAATTGTAAAATAAGA